CTGACCGTGGGGGCACTTGGGAATACACTTGCCGTACTTCCACTCAGTTCCCTTGGGGCATTCGCACTTGTGAGACCACTTGTTGTACTCCTGTCCCTTGGGGCAGTCCTTCACGCATTTGCCGTACTTCCAAGATGTGCCAGCAGGGCAGACGCACTTCCACTGGTGCTTATCGAAGTACTGACCGTCGGGGCACTTGGGAATACACTTGCCATACTTCCACTCAGTTCCCTTAGGGCAGACGCACTTCCACTGGTCCTTGTCGAAGTGCTGGCCGTGGGGGCACTTGGGAATACACTTGCCGTACTTCCACTCAGTGCCATGGGGACACTCGCACTTCTTGGAGTGAGGGTTGTAGACCTGAGGCTTGTGGCAAGAGGGCTTGTTAGGCACGCATTTGCCGTACTCCCAGGTTGTACCCTTGGGGCAGACACACTTCTTGCCGTCCCAGGTGAGCTGCTTGTCGTTGCAGACACACTTGCCGTAGACTTCCTTGGCGTCATGGCCACAGTCCCAGCGCTGGACAAGAGCGTCGGAGTCATCCCGAGCCTCAAGACCGAAGTCGTTGTCGGCATCAGGGAGAGCCTTGACCGAGACGGTCAGGGCGAAAAGATTGATGAGGAGGTACTTGATATGCATGATAGGCAACTGCAGGCCTTTCAGCAACGAAAGTGGTTTGGGGTGATAACGAAAGAAGGTGAGCGAGTGAAGGAGGTCAGTCGAGTTGAGAGACCAGTGCCTTTCTTGACTTGAGAGTGAGGAGACAGAAACGGATTTGGTGGGGAGATCATGAGGTTTAAGTAGGAGATGTCTGACTGCAGAGGGAATACGAGATCTTGATGGTTAGGTGCCCATCCTTGGTCAAGATGATACCAGCATCCAGATAGGAAGTCAGCTCATGCTACTTTGGGAAGCATGATGCTCCAATGCAATAGTTCCAAAGCTAAATTCTCTCTTAGACCGGATCCTCCTCTCGCAGTGTGACATGCATGCCAGAGCCAGCCTCAACTGTGGATGCCAGCTGTCGGGCGTAGGGGGTTGCATATGCCACGCCCGAGGAACAGGGAAGACAGACACAGAAGGACAGGGGGACGAGAAGGCTGGATTGGGGAAAAACCATCACAGCTCGGGACATAGAGCAGGCCCAACATTATGCTTACTTGTTGCAACGTGAAGGCGGAGCCAAGATTTGATAGCGACAACTCAATCCATGTTAGTGTTTTGTGCCGTGATTTCTAATTATGTCCCGTCTGCGTCTCCTAGGACCGTAGACCAGGCTTCAGTGACATGCTGGATTATCTCCGTGATTCGACGGTCGGCTAAATCCATCACATAACGGAGAGCGACGAGCCGAATGGGTGCCCATGTTCTGGTGTTCCCATACATGTGAGTGTAAGGATTTGGTAATGACAGCTGTTACGCAACAAGGCGTTTTCCATGCCCAGTGGATGCGCTGGCTGCAGGTGGCAGCATCACACCGATCGAGGAATACGAGGTCCTGCAGTTGCAGATGGTGTTGAAGCTGCAACATCTCGTTGGAGGAGAGGCTCAACTGAGGACATCCCCCACACAGCAACACCAGCACCAAAGCTAAAGAGTGACCGTAAGGCTGGCTAATGCAGGTTGATGGATTATTCCTAGGTCTCACACATGGACAACTCACCAGGGGAAAAGGAAAGAAACACGATCAAGAGGTGAGGCTGGGTGAGACAAGCATTGATCCCTGTCAGGGCCTGGATGTCTCGGAGCCGCGATCTAGGACTATTTTTTCCCGTATTTTTGCCAGCGAGCTGAGTCCCAGGCACAAACAAGCGGATGCGCGCGGAGGTACATAGATCCGAAACTCATCAATTGGCCAAGCTCGCCAAGTGTGAAAACCCGATCTTGTAAAATACGAGGCCCCGGAAAAGGGGGCATTCACATACGAGGAGTGCATTGATTGGTAGACAGAGCAGCCACGCACGGGTGAAACAGAACAGCACCTTGTAGCTTGTTGGTAAATATAGCCAGAGCTGCAGCCACAGAGAAACATGTCATTGCTGCGAGGGGTCGGCACCAGTCAGAGAGAGGCAAGAAAGCATGCAGCCACATTTTCCTGGTATTGGGTGGTGGTCCACCTAAAGAGGGGGAAAATGCGATATCGACCGACCGTTCCGTCTCCGACAACCGATGGAGGGTGAGGGGACCTTGTATTCATTCAAGAAACATCGGAAGATGATGGAGACAACTGGATATGGCGATATGCAAGGGATATTTGCTTTGCTCTGTCGATCTCCTCCTCAGACCTTGACCAGATCACTCGTCTCGCTTCGTTTCGTTTCATCGACCCCGCCCGAGGATCCGATGCAACAAGTGAACAAAACATCGTGTCGCTTCAATAGTGGCCGCCAACTCAACTCATGCGAATTACAGTTCAAGTCCTTGACAGGGGACCCTTGTTCTCCAAAAGCTTAGGTCCACAAGCTCGATCGCGGGGACAGTCTTGGCCTGATTTTAGCTTATTGCTGATCATGATTTCGAGACCGTGGATCGCGTATCCTATTGGCTGCTCTTGTGCAGACACGGGAAATCTATTCTTGCCAACGTGCAGAACTCCTTGACTAATACTCTCTCGGTTAGAACCGTTGTGATCGTTTTTGTTTCTCGGGTATTTTTAACTTCGGTAGTCTCTGTTCACTTTCTTACCATGACGGCGATTGTCTCAAACTCGATTGAACTCACGATGCGATATGCCAAGCTTGGGGTCAGCAGATTTCATCGAATAATCGTGACGTTTCAGGCCGCTGCGGGGAAAACAAATCCTGATTCATGTCACACTTTCAATCGCTACAGCCAAGCTGGGCTGGCTAAATCTCACCTGCAGCTCTAGCATCAGGAGAGAGAAAAGCTCATCAAGAAATTATCACGGCACGAGGAATAGAGTTTTCCGCCGCTTATTTGCGGGGAATCAACCTGGCCTGGGAAAAACTGTCCGCCCGCTTGTGACGATCCAGGGCTCCATGGCTCTCGATTGGTCCCCCAGAACACGAGAGGCTGGCCCCCCCTGTAATCTTTGCTTTAACGAGGTCTTGTTAATGTTTGGTAACTCTATTTAACGCCTGCAGACAATAGCTGTTTTGCCACAACTGTAGAATCCTTGGCTATACAGCTCAGCTGATGACGGCCGCTGTGAGTTGTTGTTTTTTTTTTACGGCTGATTCTCTCTTTTTCACGGCTGAACGTGTAATCCATGTAGAGCTCAAAGGATGATGCATGTTTCTTGAGGTCCGAGCGAGGCTTGTTTCCTGCAATGTCATGTTTATCACTAACGTCTATGGTAATTGACTTTTCAGCTCAGTGTTGCTTTTTTTACATGGCGTTCTGTTTTTATCACGGCACTATCAGGTCATTAACTGGCAGATACGTCGTGGAACTGTTTACCCGCCGCCATCCATTCTAGCTACAGGAGTAATCACACAAGTCCATCGCTCTTAGAAAACGCCTGATCTGCAGTCAGACTCTCTCAACATATTGCCTGAAATCGACACGACCCACGTGCAGTAAGCATCTTACGGCATTGTCCAATGACTGCGTTGCCCTAACGTAAGCCCATCTGAGCTACTCCTCCAACAGAATTATATCCATGCCGTCATTATACCCCCCGACATCCGGTGCATTACAGCACAGCATGCCTTTAGTAGATGTATTTTTCACCGTCCTTCTGCATGCTGACCCAAGTCTTACAGCATTGGTAGCTGAGAAAAGCCACCAGAGTGCGGATACACCGGATGGGAGGAAAAGGTGTTGTGTCACATCGGGTAGGCAAGCCTTCAATACTCTATTCTGTCGGGCCTCAAGTATCATTGACTTGAGGCTGGAGATTTAGGGTATTAAGCTATGCCCCGAGATTTTGTCTGGCAGGTTCACTTGAGAGCCTTGCGGCTTAGAGTTTGGCGATACGAGGCTCGGAGTTTACCCTATGTGATCCATTTAATGGGATTTTCCTTGAACGATAATTGTTTACCAAGGTCGACTTCGTATAATCTTCGTGATCATGACGCCCAGGTAACACTGAACTGATACCGGCAGTTGACACAGAGTCCATCTACCATCTGTGCCATTTTTCTACGGTGGAAGACGTGGACAATTGATTGAAATTCGTGCCTTGCATGCAGGTTGCAACACGCCCAAAAGAAGTCCGCCACCAATTCAATCCCTCACCAGTCGTAATCAATGCACTTCATCCCAAGCTGCTTCTCAGAGGTGCTTTTGGTAACTCAATTGAGACGTCGTCGCTTTACGCACTGATCAGCATTCCAGTAGAAGCGCGTTCCTGATCGCTTGACTAGCGTGATTGCGCCTCAGGCATGACTGGCGGTGGCGCCAAACCCTCTAGCCACTGCTCACTGTCTCTCAATGGCGTTGGATTTTCTGACTTTCAACGGTTCCCGCATTCCAGCCGTCCCAGCTATCGGGTCAACGGCAGGAAATACGAGGCCGAACTGAGGAGGTGATTGCCATATGGAGACGGTTTAAACCTTTGGCTTGGTAGCAGTTGACTTTTATGGATGTCTTGTGATCATAGTCCTAGAGTTCAATTCTTGAGAGTTTGCGGTAAGGTAACTGCCGTTACACTGGTCACGATGGAGATTTGCGGGCGGAGATGGCTTCTTTTGTGATTTCTCCGCTTGCTGACGGGACTTAACCCAAGTCTGACAAAAGTCGTTCCTTGGCAAATCTTGGTATGAAACTTCTTACGGGATCTCATTTTCCCGAGTCGGCGGCTTACAATTGCCCTCCGTATTATGTGTTTGGTGAATAATGTCTGAATTCGTCACTGAGGCAGTTTAGGAATATCTCTAAGTAAGGTAGCTTGCACTTCATGGCTAGCTTTTCCTACCAACATCCCCAACCGCTGGTTGTTGCACCAGCATCCTGTATATGGGTATGTTAGCTTCTTCTCTATCAGTCTACAGCAAGGCAGTTTCTCTGAGCCCCAACATCGCTTATTAATACCCGAAGCTCTCAGGATGGAGCTCTGGATACAGCCATCTTACAAATGCCTTGCAACAATGTCCCCAGAATCTATCTACATGGTTTATTTAATGCTTTATTCTCGGTTTAACCTCCATTGCTATCAACATCTATTCATACTGCTTCTCATCCTTCTTGAACAGTCCGGAATGTGGCACATATCCATTTCCCCATTAACTTCAATATCATGCACGCCACTCATATCTGCAAGATTTGAGTGGACCGCGTCAAATTCTCCGAGTCTGTGCCTCATTTATAGGGTGACAGCTACGTAAGTTGGTGTCGTATATACACATACCGAGGGCGTAGAGACAGAAGACGGGCTGCCTCCTAAGGCACGTATGATTTGCAGCATGTAAAGGTTTCTCTTTAGTTTTTGGACGTGTGAATGGTGTTGAGACTGACAAGCAGCCATCAAAAAGTCTTCAATAATTCTCCGGCTTGTTATAGTAAGACTGACAAGCTGCATGAGACTTTCGATACTGTGAGGCAACTTCTTAGTGCCGACGGAACTTTATGTCTTTTTTCAAAACTGCAGTACCTTGGCAAAGAATATATATTTTCATTACTATCTGAGACAAAATGATGTCTTGATGTCTACAGATAACGGCGTAACATCAAAATCAGTTCTTATCTTTGATAATATGCTGTGATACCCCACGCCATATCCTCACATACGTACTGATAGTCCTACCCAAATAGTAGGCTTAATTGGACAATCTCACCTTGCGACATTCATCCATC